TTGACCTAAGCCCATCTACAGTTAGTGGCTTGACATGCCTCAGTCATTCCCATCATCATCATTGTCTCCCAGCACCTTCGCCACCTGTCTCCTTTGTTGTCGTTGCTGGTGTGTCATCAAGTCGCCCTAAATGCATGGGGACCCCATGAACGAGCAACCTTCAAAATGCCCCGTCCTCAACAGGCCTGCTCAGCTCTTGCAATCTCAATCCTGTGGCTTCATTGAGGGAGTGGGGCCATCTCGTATTTTGGCCTTCCTCTTTTCCTGCTGCCTTCTGCCTTTCCCAGCATGATGGTCTTTCCTAGAGAATCCTGCCTTCTTACGATGTGCCCAAATCAGGACACTCTCCGTTTCAACACTTTTGCTGCCTCCATTGATAGATAGTTCAGGCTTAATTTGATTTTTAGTCAGCATTAATCAAGCAAAAAAAAAGGGGGGGGGAGAAGCCTATACGAAATTCTGATGGAACATATATTGTATCACTTTTTAAAAAGGCTATGATTCTTAGTTTTGGACATGGCTGAGTGACAGGCTTAAAATGGAACTTTTTATTTTTTGCACCCCACATAGCCAATAAATTGGCTTTCAGGAAAATTCTTTCAAGGTTTGGGCTGCAAGTGTTATTTTCTGTTTTCTATTATCACGCTTAAGCCCTCCACCCACCCACCCCCCATCCTGCCAAACATCCCCATATTGTGTGATATGACAGTTTCCTTTTGATGAGAAGGCTTTCATTTGGTCAAAGAAAAGGGTAATTTGGTTCTCTCTTTTTTCAAAAAAGACTTTAATCCTTCTGGGCCATTTCTGGGCCTGAGAAACAGCTTTTCTCTCCTCCCCGCCACCTACCCTCCCCACCCCTAATTTTGGACCCGAGGCTTCCCACACAATGGGCAATGCGGCCACCTCAAATCTACGCGCCAGATAGAGAAATCAGATTTCTGCCCAGAGTCATTTCTGTAGGATTAGCTAAATCTTAGATCCACACTAACCCTTCACAAAGCTGTCAAGATTAGTTAGAATTTATTTTATTCCAGCAGGAGGCTTTATGGTTTCCTTTCCGAGAAGGATTATATAGATATATACGTTTATATTTAGGATGGCCTGAGTGGTAAGCAGATAGCTTGGGGGGGGGGCAGGTGGAGGACCGAGGTGGTTGTGGGTGGAACATGTGTGTGTGTGTTTCTCCTTGTTTGCCTGTGAGTATATAAAATAAAAAAAACGCACTGGGAGGTCGGACGGAGGGATGCATACCATCCAAAGCTGGTGATGTATCACTAAACTTGCCTGTGATTGCTTTGGGTTTGGAAACAAACAGATCTCCTGGTTCCAGTTTTGCACAGTTAGATCTTTTCCCACACACAAAAAAAGCAGAAAGCCCTCTTTGGGTCTCACCAGAAGGGCCTCGGGAAGGATGTCTGCCGATAACCCTTCAGACACAGACGTTGGGAAGAAGACCTTCAAGAGACCTTGTTCCTTCACCATCGAGAACATCCTCTCCAGCCCAGCTGTAGACAGAAGACCGCAGGTTTTCCTGCCCTTTTGCTTCCGTGGGGTCTTGGACGCCGACCCCAAAGAGATGTGCGCCTTGGGGAGCCTCGCCGCTGCCCCCAGCGCTCTGCAAGAGGAGGAGGCGGAAGAGGTGGACGTGGACGTGGGACAGTGCGGTTGCTGCTGCTGTTCTCACAGCAGCACCCATACGTGGCAGGAGACCACGGGCTGGCTGAGTGAGTATCCTGCCATTTTTATGACCCACTCCACAAATGGAACTCAGAGCAGAGCATAATGGAACTCAGTGCACAGTTGTTGTTGTTGTTAGTCTTAGAACGAGAGAGCTGGAAGGGACCCCTATGGATCATCCAGTGCGGTTGCTGCTGCTGTTCTCACAGCAGCACCCATACGTGGCAGGAGACCACGGGCTGGCTGAGTGAGTATCCTGCCATTTTTATGACCCACTCCACAAATGGAACTCAGAGCAGAGCATAATGGAACTCAGTGCACAGTTGTTGTTGTTGTTAGTCTTAGAACGAGAGAGCTGGAAGGGACCCCTATGGATCATCTAATCCAGCCCTGCACAGTTGTTGTTGTTAGTCTTAGAACGACAGAGCTGGAAGGGACCCCTATGGATCATCTAATCCAGCCTCTGTCAAGGAGGCACTCTGGGGAATCGAACTCCCAACGTCTGACCTCAACCACTGATAACCGTCAGTTCCCCATCAGCTCCAGCCAGCCTGGTTGATGGAAGTTGGGGGTTCACCCTCTGGTGGGCCACAGTTTTAGATGATGCCTTGTTGGTTGGCTTGGGGGACAATTTTGTTTTGATACCGTTAAGCCAGGACGAGGAAGAGGCGGGCCAATGGATGTTCTCGGACATCAACACCCAGCATGCCCAGCACTGTTTCAGCAAGCTAAGGCTGATGGGAGTTGCCGTCAACCACATCTGGAAGATCACATATTCCCAAATCCCCACTTACTCCCATCTTATCCCATATTTTCTACATGGCCTATATCTTTTGCCATTAAGCTAATGTAACTGGGTGTTATGGTATTCATGTTTTGGTCTGCCTAGTGCCTGAAAAAGCTGGAAAAGTTTCTTTTTTGAGGGGGGGGGAATTATAACACCATCTCTTGTCAGTGGCTTCCTGCAGGTGGAAGGTTGTTCATTATGGAAGCAGTATGCCACCCTAGATACGGACCTTTGTTGTTGTATTCCCCCTCCACCCACCCAGAAATGATGTTTAAAACAATTATTTAGTTTCTGTGATAGCAGGCCTTGGAAAATATATTTCTTTGGATTAAAACTTCCTAGCCAGCACGATCATGGCTGGCTGGGGGATTCTGGAAGCTCTAATTAAAAAACACAAATACCTCCCCATCCCGAACGTTTTCTAAAGCCCAGTAATGACCACAGATCTGTATGGTTTACACATGCAAAGGAGCTAGCAGTAGCTAAAATGGAAGTGGGATGGGGGAAACTTGGCTTAAATCCGCAGGGCACATTTCGTGTTGGTGGTATCAGAACAGATAAAGATAAAAGAGCTCATTCATCACACTGCTGAGGCTTCCATTGTAGGGGCATTTTCATCATCAATATCATCTTAGGAATGCAGAGCTGGAAGGGATCACTGCATCCAACTCTTGTCAAGGCGGCACAGGGGGGAATTGAACCCCGAACTTCTGGCTCCGCAGCCAGAGACCTAAACCATCGAGCATCTGAATTATTGGGAAGGGGGAATTTTTTTCCCCTTTAGTGTGCACTGCTACCGTTCACAAGTTAGAAAGCCACCTTAGATTATATGCAGCTATGGCAAAAGAAGAAGCTTCTCTGTGTGGGTGGTGGCCCATATCACAATTCTCTGATGTACTAATGTAATTAGCTTTCCTGAATCTGCCTCCATTTCCCATTATGAGTAACTGGCGGAATGGCTTAACTTTTCACTTACCGCTCACAAGGTGCAAATGTACAGATCAGTGCAAATAAAAGCATTCCATCGCTTCAGGGTGGGCAAGTCAGCTGTGCATCAACAGGGGAGAAATTGGTCCTAAGAGCAAAAGCAATTATACTGCCATCCGCTCTCTTTTAGACCAGCCTGATAGCATTTAGATATCTTGGATGGCAATTCGCAACATGCAGGCTACCAACTGAACTGACTGTGGATAACAGGAGTTGTTGTCCTACTGTCCCAGACAGTGTCAATTTGGGAAAGGATGCTTTAGAGTGAACAGAATACATCGGTCATTCTATGTTCATTCATTCATTCATTCATTCATTCATTCATTCATTCATTCATTCATTCATTCATTCATTCATTCGTTCGTTCGTTCGTTCATTCGTTTGTTCATTCGTTCATTCGTTCATTCGTTTTGTTCGTTCGTTTGTTTTGTTCATTCATTCATTCGTTTGTTTGTTTATACCCTTCCTTTCTCCTTAAGAAGGACGCAAGGTGGCTTACATCATTTTAAAGTAAAAAAAAAAGTAAATGTACAAATACTAAAAACTGATCAAGCAAAGGTCACACTAAAAGACAATAAAGAAAAACAACACCAGAAACACATTCAAAACAGTAAAGACACAACCATTCATTAAATAAACACACACACACACTCAGGCTGTTGGTCATTAAGGAAAAGCTTGCCTGGAGAGAAAAAGTCTTGCAGAAAGACAGCCAAGATGGGGCCACTCTGGCCCCCAGTGGGAGGGAGTTCCAAAGTCTGGGAGCAGTGACAGAAAAAGCCCTTCTCCTTTCTTCCCACCAAACGCACTTGTGAAGGTGGTGGGACTGAGAACGGAGCCTCTCCTGATCTCAACACGTGAACAGGCTCATAAAGGGAGATATGGTCCTATGGACAGCTTGGGGCCAAGCTGTTTAGCATTTTGTAGAGTATAAGCAGCGCTTCAAATTAGGCACAGAAGTGGATTGGCAGCCAATGCTGCTGTAACAAGGGTTAGGTACCATATTTTTTCCGTGTATAAGACCCCCATGTATAAGACGCCACCCACTTTTATAATCCAAAATTAAGAAATTTAAATGGGGCTTAGCAAGTGCAGGGGGAAAGGGATCAAAGCGCTGCAGGATCGCTTTGATCCCTGCTTTCCCCTCCACTTGTTTTCGTTCTCTCCTCAGCTTACTTCCATGTATAGGATGACCCTCAATTTTTAGCATAAAGATTTTAGACAAAGTATAGTCTTATATGTGGATAAAAACCGTAATCCCTGTGACTAGCCCCAGTGAACCATCTCCTGGCCCATGCCGAAACCCGGGCATCCAAGCTCAAAGACAAATCCAGAAACACCCCCGAACTGCGTGCCTGTGTTTTCGGAGGGTGTGCAACCTCCACCCAGCCCAGGCACCCCCCAAACTGCATGCCTGTGTTTTTGGAGGGTGTGCAACCTCCACCCAGCCCAGGCTGCACCCTTATGCCCAGCTCTGCCATTCCACCACTCAGGAGCACCTCTGCCGACAAGCAAGCCTGATGAACTCCAAACCCTTTTTTTCCCCCCACAGCAGATGCCAGATTTCCTTGGCCCATGCGCCTCTTCCATCCCCTCGGCAGGCTGTGCAAGAACGCCCGCGGGAGCCGGAGCGAGCTGCACGCTTTCCACCAGATCCAGCGACGGACCCGCCGGCATCGCACCATCTTCACAGAGGATCAGCTGCAGGCCCTGGAGGCCCTCTTCCACCAGAACCAGTACCCAGATGTTATCACCAGGGAACATCTGGCCAGCCAGATTCACCTGAAGGAGGAAAGAGTAGAGGTAAAGTTCACACTTGCCTTGCCTTATCATTTGGGTGTTTCATGAGTCCCTCGATTTGATTTGTAGAACAGCATCGAGCATCTGAATATGTCTCAGTTGGGTCTGGAGCAAGTCTTGCTCTAATGGATTCGATTTCTGCCCTGGATCCAAATCCATTTGTAAACTCAATGCACTGGAAACCAAAATGTCTATTTCTTATAGTAGAACTTTTCCGAGTGAGAAGGGACCATATGGATCATCGTGTCCAGCTCCTGTCAGGGAGGCAGAG